CTACTACTACTACTAGCCACCCCCCTACCAACTACACTTCGTCATTGTCATCAACATCATCACCACCAACATCACGAAAAAACAAACGCATTTCATCACCAACATCACCAAAAAGCAAACACTTTTCATCACCTTTCATCACCAACATCACCAGAAGTACTGTAAATACCGAGCAAAAGCTGGGTTGTGTGCTCACGAAAAAACAAACACATTTCATCACCAACATCACCAAAAGCAAACACATTTCATCATCGACATCACGAAAAAATCAAACACATTTCATCACCTTTCATCACCAACGTCACCAAAAGTACTGTAAATACCGATTAAAAGCGGGGTCGCGTGCACAAGTACTGTAAATACCGAGGAAAGCGGTTCCCCAACGAATTTCGAGTTTTCGCTGCACGCCGTTCGAGACACCAAAGTTTAAGACGCATAGTCCAGAAGTAGGGGTGGCAACTATATAAGAAAGTAGGACATCACGAAAGTACTGTAAATACCGAGTAAAACGGCTCTTGTGGTGATATTGTTGGTTGCGTTTGCGTAACACTGTCGTCATCANNCCCCCACCCCACCCCCACCCCCGCCCCAGAAGCAAGTCCAGAATCAAGAGGCCGAGTTTGCAAACTCGGCAAAGCGATTTTGAGGCTTCTTATGATGTCCGTACATGACGAAAGTGCTGTAAATACCAAGTAAAACGGATGTGCTCTTAAGATGGTTTTGGGCAAGTGTAGACTACTACTACTACTACTGCGTCTGCTATGACTCTTACTAGTACTAAACACTATTACCAATACTACAATTACTGTCACAAATGTAATAGCACATTATCGAACTTTAAGTCAAGTCGTCGGAGTTGATCTGGAAATGGTCGTCAAAGGCTTTGTCGAAGCCGATGACGCCGAGCCCATCCTGCTGAAGAGATATTCAAATTCGGATCTACGGCTAATATAGGGGCCGAATAATTACCCTACTATTCTGGGGGATTCCTCATCTATAATTGATAGGGCCAAATAATTACCGATACTATTTTTGGGGAATTCCTTACTATAATTGTAGCATAATGTGCCCCCAAGCCCTATTCTTCTATTTGTTGAGCCCCCCTGCATGATTTCCGTGCTGGGTTTTTTGAATAATCCTGTTCCACTCGCCGATAGTCCCACGAACGAAAAGCGGGCGTTTGGATCCACAGCAAGATCTGAGCACGGGTTTAGGCTTTAGGGAATTTGAGGATTTAGTTGCTTTTTTGCCTCCCACCTAGCAAAAGGGTTTGGGGCTATGATTCGGCACGACGAGCCCGAGCCGAGCCTCAGCGGCTCTAAGCTTACTTTGTTTGCACCGACTGGTTTTTGTCGATGCTCACAGGCCCGGCTACAGAGTCGTAACAATCTGACCTAGCCTGTGGGCATCAGCTGGTCATTCATGTGGCTGCGATGATCGCCGACCCTTGCCAATCCCTTGGAGTCACGGTCTGGGGCCTTGAATCGTTTTGACGCAGGAAGCTGAAGGAAGCTACCCGAAGTAACGCAGCACGACTCAAGGTTCAGGCTTGGAACCACTTAAACCCTAGGTTTAGTCTAGTATGTCTAGTCATCCCGATAAACTTCGAAAGCCCTAAACCCGACCCGTCCCCCACAGGACTGGGTTCCTGTTAAGGGATTTAATTTAAGTTACCATAATAAGGAAACCATATTATTTACTATAGATCCTTATTATGGTAGCTTAAATTAAATCNNTAAATCCCTTAACAAGAACCCAGAGGATCGTTGCCTCCAGAATTCCAGGCTTCCACTCGTTCGAGGGCTTCCTGCTGGGCAGCCTCCTCGGCGTCTTGTCGGCCATGGCGCCGCAGGACTATCTGCTACGATGCTCCGCGATCAGGCTATGATACCCTAAACCCTAAACCCTAAACCCTAAACCTTCTCCTTCATGAGGGTTGGACCTCGTCACGGAATTCGGATCTGGCCGCAGCAATTCCATCCGACAACTTGCTAGAGACTGTGGTGGGACGTTTAGCACAGGGGGAGGGGTCTTCGGCTGTTATTGTGGGCTTCAAAGGTCTAGGATGCATGCGCAATCTCAGTGTGGTGCTGCGCCGAAGACCAAACCCCGACGCAAGTGGTGGAACGGCTGGCCAGGTCTACTTACGCCTGCAGTGCTTCTGCTTCTCAGCCTAATTCCTAGCACCAAATAGAGCCAGAAACCGCCCTAAACGGCCCATAAGATTCCTGAACACACGTTCTGGGCTACGTTGAGCTTCCGTCCTACTGTACACGAGCTCCACCTCAGGCGGTGCTCGGGGCGACCTTTGTGGCCTTCCCGGTCTTGGGCCAATGCGGGTTGCACAGTTTCAGGGTTTCGGATCCAAGGCTTTCGGTAGTTTATCGTGGGTCTAGATTCTAGAGTGTAGGAGTTCAGCACTTGCATCGTGGAAACGCCGATCGATCTTCAGAGGTTGGATGTTTTAGGCCACTTTAGGCCCTTTTAGGCTTTCCCATCTTGACCCCTTGTCTCCCGCTGCGGCTCTAAGAATTCTCATCATGAGAACCGGCCGTAGTCGCGTGAATGGTTGGCTTAGAAGGCCGTGCGGAGAGGGATGCATGTTTAGTAGACAGGTGATCTGGCAGAGACCTAGCTGCGTAGCAATACTTGCAGTGGTTCCGTTGGGCCGTCGAATCTAGCGGCTCTAGCGACTGAGTAAAGCGACTGCAGAACAAACGGCTTTCCTTCCAGCTTGAAGCCTAGCATGACTGGACCGGCTCGGCCTTGACTGCGTTGGACCTGGGAGAACGGTTTCAACTGCACCAGGATAAGACTCCGTCTATTCGATGCATCATACTTTCGTCCCCCAACGACATGCTTTAGAAGAAAACGATCACCAACGTACATCCTGCCGTGACGCCCCCTCCACTCTTCTGTGCATCCTCTGGAACCGGCATGAATCACAGGAAAGACCGCTGGAGGACCAGTGACCCAACTTCCCTTGCCTGGTCATTTTGCTCTCCCCAAACCTTGCAATCTTCGCCACCACAAACTCCAAAGAACCGAAACCTACCAAACCCCCCTACCTAAAACCAGTATTTGCTTGAAGCATCTTGAAATAGTAGCCTTGACCTTACCAGTTTATCCCAATGTTATTCAGCCTAACATAACCCAGAGCAGGAGATCATACGTTGCCCAAAACGAACTGCCCAAAAAAACAATTAATACGTAGGGGCATCAATAATTAGAGTTGGGTTTTGTAGGGTATATTCTACGTAGGTACATAGGGCGTTCCTCTGGGCCAGAGCTCGAACCCCATGGAACCCTGTGGGCAAAGCCGTACCAGAAATTCCGCAGCCCCCCCCCCCCCCCCCCCNNTTACACAGGCTTGATGGGAGCTCGCCCGGCCAAAGTCCCTCGTAGCACCCTAAACCCCTAAACCCCCGAGATCCCACAGCAAAACCAAGAAGCCCTCGGAGGCTCGGAGGCTTCTTCCGGGGCTCAGGCTCGGCACTCTTCTGCGCGAGCAGCAGCTGCTCCGACTCCTCACAGAAGCGCTCGGAAGTCGACCGAGTTTAGGGGGTTTGGGAATGTGCAGGTGGGGTTATAAGGGCTTATAGAGGTGAGAAGAGTTTAGGGATCTAGGGTGTTTCGTCGCTGGTTTGGGGTTTAGGCGTGCAAGGAATTGGAGTTTAGGAGTGCAGGGCTTTCGGCGCTCACACTCGGGCAATTCAGGCGAGCCATGAATCCATAGGTCGGTGTTAAGGGTTTCGATTCTCACGCTCTCACCAGGCGCTCAAGGTCTCTTCACTGCTACCCTGACGTTTGAATGCAGGTACTGCCGCACCCAAATCAAGCCGACCACTACATACGTCATGGCAGTCTTTAGGGCCCTCGGGCCAGGGTTTTGGGCAGAGGGTATCCAAGTCAGAGAGCTCAAGCTCGCGCAGTAAGTTATCTTTCGCCTGTATCATCCACTCCATTTTGGGGGAGCTAAAAAGCTCCAAGAAATAGACGGCCTAGAGCTGCCGGCTGGGTCAGTCTGCTGCTGGTGCGTCTGTGGATCAAGTCTGAAAATGGATCTGTTATCTCCAACCGTTTCCGCTGTTCAAGCCGTTGGGCCTACGACCTCACCGACTCAAGCTCTCTTTAAACTTGTAACTTTTGCTTTCCGAAAATTGCTCTTGCCAAGGTTGGGCCCTGGTTGTGTTAGCTCCGTTTTGAAAGCAGGTATTGAACCGTTTAAACTTTTCACGATCAGGAGGCACAGGTGGAATTCTCGGCAGGAGAAGCCCAAACATCGGTTTGAAAAGCCAACGTCGCAGAACGGACCTGATGAGTAAGCCACAAACAGCCCGGCAAAAGAGTCGAATCGCTTCGGCAGCTGAAGGTCGGGTGCCCTCTCATAGGGGTGGATCAGGTCCCTCCCACTCATCCTCTAGTGCCTGCGGGCCCTCCGATGGTGGGCTTCGACTTGCTGGAAACTCGAAGACCCTCACAAGATCCTCCAATTTCCGGGCCCTTTGCCATTTCGGCATTTAGAGAAAGGCTGGGCTGCAGGCGGCAAGAAGAGATGCTGCCCGGGCCCTTAGCCACGGCGCAAGTTGTGTACTTTTCAGTCATGCTGAGGCAGTTCTCTTGGAACTTCGAGCGACTACAGGAGCGCAATGCCTTGGCCGGAAGAGCCTTGCTATCACTCGGTGCCTCTTATCAACGCTACCCTTCACGCTCAATCTTCTGTGCTATACTATAGTAGACAACAGCATGGTGCAACTCTAAGACCTATAAGCCTATAAAGTATTATAAAGTACTGTAATACTATACTATACTATACGATGCTTCAAAGAGACCGCCATTTCCTTCGCATTCGGTCAGACCTCGAGCGTTTGCTTCGCCGGTTGTCCCCTTTTTCTGGCTTCGCTGGGCACATGCTCCAAGCGCGGAATCGCGCTGTAGATCGTGGCCGCCGCACATCGGAGGACGAAGTATTTTCCATTCTCCGCGTGCTGACAGCATCGGAGCCACTGCTGACACGGACCCTAAAGCCGGGTTACGTCGGGGCTGGTGACTAGTGCACTGCACTCAGCTTCGTGTGTGGATCGATGCTTCAGGATAATCGCTACACGGGCCTGGTCTCTCGCTAGATGCGACTGCCTGCAGGGCTCGTCTTCCTGGAAAACACACGCTCCCGTCCGGAACGTGCCTGGGGCTGTTGGTGCGACTCACCTCGGGTAACTTCTCTTCCTGCAGAAATACCAGAGTTGTTGGAAGATACAAACCTAGTTGAGTCCATCACCAGAGGCCTCAGCCGGTATTCCTTGCAGTCCTGACTCAAAGACCCGATTTCCGAGTAGGACTAGTGACGCTTCTCAAGACTTGACGTTTGTTCGAGCTTGTGTGCATCTACGTAGTGGGGACTTTTGAGCTTGCATTTTGTGTGAACTGGTGTGCGGCATGCTACTCAAATACACAGACAGATGCATACATACATCATGCATTTTTACATATAAAGCCCGGTGCTTAAAAAACACGTCCACACAGAAACGGACAAACCCGCGCGCACAAACGCCATCATCAACACAAAAATAGCCTCTACACGAAACGAAACAACAAGGGAAAGAAAGAGAGAGAGGAAGGCAAACAGCCAAACGGACATAGAGGCAGAGAGGTTGAGAAAGAGAAACGACGACGAATCGCAAGACTTCCTAACAGTGAAACGCTACCGCTAGTATTGAAAAAGGGTTTTCTAAGCAGAAGAAACCTTACGTTGTGATCGGAAAGAAGGTCTCCGATCAGTCTCTGACACATGTTCTGGGCCTTTGCCAGTGCTGCGACGTCAACAACCACTCCGGTGTCTGGCGCCGTAGGCGCGGTGGACTGCAAGGGCACTCAGGATTTTTGGTTCTGGGGTTTTGTGCTCAGGGTTCTGATTCTAAGTTTGGGTTTGGGGTTTGGGGGCTTTTGCCTAGCTTTAGTTTCCGGTTTAGGGCCGTGGCACCCTTCTTCTTGGATCTTTCCAAAAGGGAGGACTCCAAATCTGCATGTCGGGATCGGGACCATCCTGAGAAGCTTCGCTGCACCATGTTCCCAATCGCTAAACATGTGGGTAGTTTTCTAAACTAGGGTCCCTTTTTGGGAACTACCCATGTGTTACGCTCATCTCTTCTTCGTTCTTCCTGCAGCCGGGGCTGCTGAGCAGCCCACGCAGGTTGCGGTATTTAAAAGTGGCCCGGATCAGCCACGCGCTTGGCTACTTCTCCTGCACGGCCGCGCACTCACCTGTCGACTCATCCAGCTGCCTCAGATTTGCCGACACATCCCAACTTGAGTGGTTAATTCTCAGAAAAACCTATTGTATATGATTAAATGATGGATTCAGCTTGATTGTTTCCTGGTAGACGGTCAAGGAAGGGTGTTTCCACCATGTCCTATCCAGATTTCCAAGTCCGTTCCCACAGCCCCACCTCCGAATCGCAGAGGAGAGAGCCTGACCCAAAACATCTTCGAGGTCCCAGTAGGAGTCATCATGATCCCGGCAGTGGTGGGCGGTGGTGTGGCCGTGGCGGTGGCGGTGCGGCTGGTGCTTGTGCTTGTGGTGCTGGTGCTTGTCGTGGTGGCCGGGGTGCTGCTGGGGGCGTGATGCTAAGTTAGCTAAAACCTACCTTAGCAGTTTGGTTTTGGCTGTTTCTACTTGTCCGATTCTCTCATTGGCTCCGAGCTGCCTGAAGGTCTGCTGCAAATGGATGCCGAACTCGTCGAGCCTGTGCGGCCCGCAAAGTCTCCAAGCATGAATGCTTCCGTAGCGGCAGCAAGTTAAACGAATCGATTATCGACGGGATGTCAGGCAATGTATATAGCCCCGCGGCTTCTTCAAGATCACGTTCACGCACTGAACCTTGGCTGCGACGACTCAGGCCGGACAGTGGTAGCCTCATTGCCGCCCATGAAAGTTTGCCCACCCACATCTAGCCGCTACCTCCAGCATCAGGCCCCCGTCAAAGGGTTGTTCTTTCCCGAAACATGTCGATTTGGCGATGTCGACCGTGCCAAGCGGCGACAGTCAGCTGGTCAGTTCGCACATGCACCTCGGCGTTGACAGGCCTTGGGCGCAGATCTCGGCATGGTTCTGTCATCACAAACGCATCAGGAAGAAAGCAATATCTGAAATAAGAGTATACCATAATGCATTATAATTAAAAAACCATGCTTGCTATAGGGCAAAAGGAAAGCAGACGTCCAAAAGAAGGTAAAGGATTGCCACACGCTACGGAAGAGAGAGCAAGTGGCAAAAACAGCTTTGGCTCTTCTTCCCTGGGATTCGTGCGAGTATACTTCGATAATAATTACAACAGGGTTTTAGCGTATATTTTATGTTATACTATAAGTATAATATAGGAGCCTCAATAATTAGAACAAGGTTTTGCGGTATACTATAATATAAGTATAATAGAGGGGCCTTAATAATTAGAATAGGCCCATTATGCTGTAGTCGTGATAAGGACCCCCCCAAAATAGTATATGTAATTATTTCGGCCCCTTTGGTATAGTTCTATATCACAGTCAGCTTCACATCCTCACTTCCGAAAGCCCCGCTCAGCCCTGTGACTTTTCGTAAGGGGCGTCGATGCCGGTGAAGCCCTTGATCTTGCCCTCCCGGGCCTTCCTCAGACAACACCAGGCCATGCACAGTTTAGGCGCTTGCAGGCAAAATACAAAGGGAGATTCACATGTATGTCGGTAGACAGGCAGACAGATACGTAAAAGGATATGCGTAGGTACGAATGTATGCATGCATGGGGAAGGATGGGCGGATGGACGGATGGATGGATGGATGGATGGATGGATGGATGCATGCATGCAAGCATGGATGGATGGACCCGGACGGATGGATGGCTGGGTGGGGGTGGGGGTGGGCGGGTGGGTGGACGGTGGGCGTGTATGTGGTAAATACGTAGGTGTGTATGTATGTTTGTTTGTTTTGTGACTTGTGGTATGTAGTAACAAAGCAATGCAATGTACTGTATTGTACTGTAACGAACCGTGCCGTAAGGTATGTGCATATTCGTATACATTTGTTACGCATGCATGCATGTCTACTGTGGTTATCTGATCGCTTGCTTGCTTGTGTGCAATCACACATACATGCTATACCGAAACGCTACAGCCTGTGCATTCGTTGTCATTCACGTGCTGATGCAACATACAGTAGCACAGGGACTTAAGACATTTGACACTTGGGCGCTAAACGGCACTGAAAGATTTGTGGCACGGCAATAATGCCATGACGCCATGTACATTTGTACACTTCTAGTTACGTAAACACGTGCTCATGCACTCGTCTAAACCCAAACCGTAAACCCCTCAAAGTTCCAAACCCCCAAGTCCCTCAAGTCCTAAAGACCCAGTTCTTTGCGAGCCCAGTAGCAACAACAAACCCAATAATGTACTAATTCCCAGAATACACCATAGTGTGCCATAATGTATTCTAATAATTCTAATAGGCTATAATATACCATACTTACTATAGGGCCCATACCATAACGTACTATAATGGGCTATAATATGCCATACTTACTATAGGGCCCAGTAGCTTGTAGAGGCCCTTCGGATCGCGGCTCTCCACGGCCGCCAGAGGCGCGTCCACGAAGACCTGCGCGTCGGGCTTTCAAGGTTCTATACTCGGTCTTTAGAGGGCTTTTGGGATTTGGGGCTTCTAGGGTTCTAGAAAGGATTGATCGAGCTTCTAACATGGGTTCTGTCGGGCGTTTGAGGATTTAATCCGAGCACTTGATTAATAAGACCCCCCATATTTAAAGAAATTTTTTCGGCAGATTTAGGGCGATCTGTATGTGTTTCCATTACGAGAGGATTTCGTCTGGGGAAAAGGTACCATATTTAAAGAATTTTTTCCGACTGGGCGGTTTGGGTAGGGTTTTAAACTCTGCACTGCCTCTTCATTTCTAGGGTTTTAAGCTCTGCAGTGGCTCTTCAATTCTGCAACTGGAGCTGCTCGCCGATCTCCAGTCTGCAAGGGCAGCTTCAAACTGCAGTGTGAAACAGATCTGCATCCG